CAAAAGACGTAGACATAGAAGCTAGAGGACTTCAAGTACAAAATTCAACTTAGAATCCCCCAAACCCAAACCCAGACCACCACTTTTAGCGTCCCATTCCACCGCTTTCTGGCCACCCAAACAACCGGAGCAACATACTACCTTGAAGCCATCGCTGCCCTTTACGTACCCAAGAACTGTCTCTAACTCAAATAGTGGTGGCCAAAATTTCATCCCAAATTGGTCCTACCGAACAGACGACAGAATTGTGCTGTGCGAGAGGCCCATTTTGGGATGAAATTTCACCACTTTTTGGCTACCAAACCACCGAACCAGTGCACACTTTGACACCCTTGCTACCTTCTACGCCACCTACCCAAGAACCGCCCCTAACTTAGACGGTGGTGGCCGAAATTTCGTCCCAAAGTGGGCCTCTTGCACAGTTGGCAGTTGCGAGTTGCCCACTTTGGGACAAAATTCTGGCCACCTTTGTTAGCTTTAGGGGTGGTTTTTAGGTAGGTTGCGCAGAGGAAAGTGAGGGCTTCAAGGTGGTACGTTGGTCCGGTGATTTTGGTTGCCGAAAAGTGGTGGAATTTCGTCCCAAAGTGGGTCTTTCTCGCACAACACAAAACTGCTAGCTGTGCGAGAAGGCCAATTTGGGATGAAATTTCAACCACCATCGTCTAAGTTAGGGATGGTTCTTTGGTGGGTTGCGTAGAGGGCAGCGAGGGCTTCAAGGTGGTATGTTGTTCCGGTGGTTTTGGTGGCCGGAAAGTGGTGGAATGGGGCGCGAAAAGTGGTGGTCTAGGTTTGGGTTTGGGGGATTTTAAGTTGAAGTTTGCACTTGAAGTCCTCCAGCTTCTATGTCCACATGTTTTAGTGCATTAGGTTTGAATTAAAACATAATAGTCCTAAAACTAAGTTCAGTGACCCTTTTTTGAAACCGAGTAAAATTTCAGTGACCATTTCTGCAAGTTTTGAACTTTAGTGACGATTTTGTAATTTTCACGTAACTTCAGTGACCGTTTGTGAAGTTAACCGAATTTCAAAATGAAATTTATATTCTAAAACATTGAGTATTCTATAATGAATATAGAAATTGAAGTCATAAAATAATAATCTGAATAACACCTATATCAGGCGTTAGAGTTGGTCACATAAATGAGAATACAATTCCAAACTTACATGGAGATGGGCTAAATGATTTTGAATCATTTGACAAATGTGAATCATGCATGTTAGGTACAGTGACCAAATCTCCTTCTATTTGAAAAGGAGAAAGATCTGTACAATTACTGGGTCTAATATATAGTGATGTATGTAGACCCATATCAATCAATGCTAGATGAAATTTCTTTTATCTTATCACATTTACTGACGACCATTTTAGAAATGGTCATGTATATTTAAGCATGAATATCTTGAAATATTCAAGGGGTTCAAGCTAGAAATTGAGAAACAAATAGGTAAACATATTCTCACACTAAGATCTGATCGATGTGGAGAATATCTAAAAGGTAGAATTTTAGATTATCTAAAAGAGAAAGAGATTCTCATGCAATGGATTCCTCAACTTACATTGCAACATAATTGTGTATCTGAAATAAAGAATTGTACAATATTAGATATAGTACAATTAAGAACAAGCCATGCAAACATTTCAAAATCGTTTTGATGTCATGCATTGATTGCCACGTGCTATGCATTAAATCGTATCCCATCTAAATCGGTTGACAAAACTCCATACAAGTTATGGAAAGGTCCAATTTATCTCATATGAAAGTTTGGGCTGTGACGCTTATGTGAAGCACACTGAATCGGATAAACTTAAGACTACAAGAAAATCCGATAAATGTATATTTGAAGAATATCCAAGAGACAATTGTATATCAATTCTATAATCTCGTTGAGAAGAAGATTTTCGTCTCAAGACATACCATACTCTTAGAGAAATTGTTCTAGGAAGAGACGTGAGGGTAGATAAAATGTTGAAGGAGTTCAAGAATTCACAAATATAATAGACCAAATAAATGAACCCGGGTCTGATCCCACACCCGCTGATGGACATACTCTTAATCAGGAAGTAAAGACTTTTGAGAACATGTCAGCTTCTTGTAAATCTTGTAAGAGCATTCGACCTCCTAGAAGGTACGAATCCATGATTACTAATCAGACATTACTAATCGAGGATGATGAACCTACTAATTACACAGAAATAAAGTCAAGTGTTGACTTGAAGAGAATGCAAGAGGCCATGGAAATCCGAGATGGACTTGATGTATGTGGACAAGGTTTAGACATTGATCGACTAGTCTAATGGGATAAAACCCGTAGGTTGTAAATGAGTTTACAAAAAAAGGGATGGAAACATCCCTACACAAGCAAGGATAGTATCAAACGATTATAAACAAAGACAATAAGTTGGCTTTGATAAAAACTTTTAGCTTGTAGCCATGCTAAAGTCCATTCGGATTTTGCTTGTAATAGTTGCATACCATAACTATGACTTATGGCAAATGGATGTCAAAACTACATTCCTTAACAAGAACTTACAAGAGGAAGTGTACATGACACAACCTGAAAGTTTTGAATTCAAAGAAGCCAACAAGGTATGAAAGTTTGATTAATCCATATATGGATCGTAACAAGTCTCTTGGAACCGAAATTTTCGATTTGATGTGAAAGTCAAAATGTTTGAGTTTATCAAAAAAATGAAGACGAACCATGTGTTTACAATAAAATAATGGGAGTGTTGTCGTATTTCTAATATTTTATGTATAAGACATATTATTAACAAGAAACGACGTCTCTATTTCAATTGTTGAAATTATGGTTGCACTGCCAATGGTCACTAATACAGCATCATTCAGGTATGTCAAGAATCATATGAATGTTGTGAATGAATGATCAATAGATGATCTGTCACTCTTAGATAGTAAGAGATTATGATCTACATTTTATCCAATTAAGTCGATAATGAAATATTTGGTCAATGTAAACTCATAAGTCGAAAAGAAGTTTTCGACTTACATTGACTTAATAGTGGGATAAAAGATACGATCGATAATTGAGATTGACACATATCCATATCTCGTAATTGATCGGATCATAGTGACGAAAGGATTATAGTTTCACGGTAAATGAACAAGTTTAGTTTTGTCAAACCATGTGACATTTTTCGTCACATGTATTGCCCTAATACATTGCTAGATGTCAATCTGGAATGATGGCAGTGATAAATTAAAAGGGATGTTTTAATTTATCGATTTTTGATTAGATCAAAAGAATAATTCACGTCGTTAGGTATCGTAATTGAGAATCTAATGGATTACACACAAAAGAAGAACTAGAAGAATAAGATTTATCAATTAATTAATGAACAAGTGTTGGATAATTAATTAATTTAATTAATTAATTGGATTGCTTATTAATAAGACCGAATGAATTAATTAGATTAATTAAATATTGGATCGGATTAAATTAAGCGATAGGCCAAGCCCGTTTGGACTTGTATTAATATGCTGCTAGGGTTTGCAAAATTTAGAGAGAAAATAATTATTCTTGCTAGCACAAGAAAAGTAAAAAACCATAGTTCTCTAAATCTTGTTCCCAGTGTGGATTTCTATTAGAGGTTGGATAATTGGATAGCTGTGGATTTCAGTTACTGATTGTTCGTGTTCGAGAATCAGTAAAGGAGTTTGCAAAATTCATCAAATGTATTATTCTAAACACAGTTTCTATCTAAACACAAAGCAGATCCGTGGTGAGAATTGAAAAATTATTAATTTTCCGCTGTGCATGTTAAGTAAATTCCCAACAGTGGTATCAGAGCCTACTTTGTATAGATCCGTGGTGAGAATTGAAATTGTTTTATTTTTCGCTGTGCATGATTAAGTAAATTCCCAACACTGATTCCCTCTTGAATGGATGACATTCAATCACCTTGGTTGGACGACTCCTAACTAATATAGAGTCCATTTGACCCAACAACCAGGCACTTACAACAAGAAGCATCAGTTTGGTTTCATGAATGGCATAGCCACCAAGTTCAGGAGATGATTGACACGTTTCAATCCCAATGAGCGACCGTGCCCCACTTAACCGTCCAAATTTGTTTACCGTGAATATGACATAATATCAATTCTAAAACTTTCTAAGCATCCAATCCACATACCCTCTCTGCATACAAAATCTACATGCATACAGTATTCCGACATTGTTACTTCCATGAATTGTCCATCAAATTGATTTCTTGATTACTATTAGTGTGTGAATTTTTTTGTAGTAACATTTTTGTATTTAACACGTCTGTGCGACACAAAATCCCCCGAAAACTCTTATGAAGATTTTGAAGTTTGAATGGAACCTTTGAAAGAAGTTAGATGGACTACCTACTTTGTCAAGAGTCTTGATTTGCCGTACTTGATAGAATCATCTCTTTATGATCTTCTGATTTCTTTCTTCAAATTTTTGCTTTATTCTCTTTCCAATGGAATCCAAACTGGGATTTTGCCCAAATTAATAAAGCATACACATGAAATTAATAAATTTGTAGTCACATGCAAAAGTGGCTAGATCAAGACTAGTTTGTACACCAATACTCGAGAAAAATAATTTACTTCAAGTACACAACCAAACTATTACGTGAATAATAAATTAATCATCCAAAATTGAGCAAAAATACCACGGATAATATGAAAATCTTATTAAAAAACAAGGTCCCACATCATATACCAATAGCATAGCAAGCAAACAACATTACAATTCCATATCTGTTTGGTCCAAACTTTACATTAAATTACATACCACACTTAAATCGCACTCTCTCCCTTTGGAGAGGGCTACATAACATGACAGAACACAACGCAATGACTTTACGTTTAAATCGATAATTAACTCTCACATCCACTTACTGACTCGCACACTACAGAAAGCAGGAAATAAAAGGGATCCCAACATAACAAAAAGAAACACCATTTGATGCCTCTTTTGAGTGAAAAAAATTTAGGGAATTCTATCATCTAGTAGAAGTTGAGGCGGGATGTGTAAGTGGCTTTTGGAGACCAATTTCTGGGTATAATATCCCTCGCAGATAGACTTCTTCCTGTTGATAGTGTTGTTAACTTTACAGAAAATGGTCCTCTTAAGGGTCCCCCAATAATGCACCAATTTGCACCCCATAAATGTGTCATCTCTAGCCATTCATTCGAATTTGCCTGCAGAACAAAAAGTTAATGGGGGAAATGGTGCTTCATAGTGTACACTTGAAGTAGGAATCCCATTACAAAAGTAGGAGGTGTTTTGGAACACATTGTCCACTAGAGAAATTAAAATGCATGGGCACGTTAAATATGCTCGACTGGACATAATTAACAAAAAGTTTTCCAATTGGGATCTGTAAAAAGTAAGCAAATGAGTCTCTTTTGACAAAGTTTGAGGCTGTCGGGCACGTGAATTTAAAGTCATAAACTTTAGTTTATGGTTTTAAGAGCTTTCTATTAGATAATTGTGAAAGTGAAGCTTTTTTGACCAAAAATCACACATCAAAAGAATATTTTTGTTCAAGTCTCCTAGTGAATTTTACATATTGGAATAGATGTGTTTACCTGTCTTATATGCATTGACCCAACGTTACCATCTCCATCTTCGAATTCGACTAAAAGTGAGAGCCAATAATCAGTTGAACCTTCATTGACATGAAAAGCAATGTTTTTCCCAGGATACTTACATGGTGTCCTGCAAATTTACAACAAAATTGCTATTTTTTCTTTATAATAGGGGAAAAAAAAAAAAAGAGTTCATTTTATATCTAACATTTGTCTCCTAATACGTGGCCACAAAATATTGTCTCAATAATTTATAATATCTGAGCTCAATTGTCAGTTGAGACGTCATTAGATTTTGACCACATTAAAATCTCAAAATGACAAAACAGAACAAGACCGTTAAAGTCACTGTACAGTAGTCTAGTACAACTCACCGTCGGTAGATTACGGAAATTTCGCCACGGTTGCGCAACCCGCCACCAGAACCGGCGATAGCCATTCGTCCGAAGGCAGCACCGCTAAGGTCGAAGTGGGTGCGGCCATTGGAGCAGTAACCACCTGGGCACTCGTCCGTTATAATGACGGTCACAGCCCTTCGAGAGCATATTGACTTGTCCAAGCACCTCACTTTAAAGCAGGCCCCACACCCTTCCCCGTTCTTAAATAATACCGGGCTCACTGCCCCGACTCGAGCCCTGAATGGCTTCACATCCACCAAAGACCCGTACCCACACGCCCCACCTTCACCAAAAACAAAAAATATTAAAAATGTAATGAACAAAATTATGAATGGAGCATGGTCGGAGCATATTATACCGTCACTGCCGTCGCCTTCGGGGCTTCCGTACCAAGTAGCGGTGGCGGGATACCAATGCAGGTCAGCAACTTCCCGGAGAGGCCCACCGGCGGCCTCCAAGCTATGAAACAACACTAGCATGACAGGCACCAAGAAATGGGCTAAATGGCGGCGACCATCCATAATGTAAGTGGAATGTAGATCAGCGCCACCACTCAACCACCAGTTTGAAGGAGGCGGAGGGACCGAGGTAGAGAAGTAGAACTTGAGCTCTGCCGACAGTTTAATTAGATCTTTATGTACTGAAACTCTGCAGTTGATTTTGTAGTGTTGTGTGGAAATATAAGGTTGCAAAAAAGTTGGCATGTGCAATAGGGACCGATTTGTCTTTTTGTAAAATGTTCAACTTTTTATGCCCACTGTGATTTATTTAATCACGATGGTGCCACCACTTTTTGAATGGGGCCCACCGACAGTTAAGGCGTAAAATCCGCATCAAGGGATCCACGTGTCTTATTAAAGTCATAGCACAAGGGTAGTTTAGTCATTACAAGGAATTGGATCATTCTCCCTTTAATTATTTTTGTTTTATTACATTCGGAGATGAGAGGATAATAGTTTATTGTTTGTTAATTCGTTTAGAAGATTTGGTCCCTTTCAAATTTGAGCAATGCTATTGAATATCTATGATATATCAATTCATTATTTTTCACATTTTTCTTTCTTCTTCATCTCTCATAAAAATTGAAATATCCAATCTCATTATTCTTATGTTTTATGGGATTCACAATTTTTTCAATCACACTTTTAATCAAATTTTTATCAGAATATTTTATGTTAAAATTTTGATTTTAATTCCTACTAAACAGAGGCTTATTGTGTATGAATATTTTAAAAATTAAGCTCTTTGGGTAGAGATAGCACTGTGTTGAGCCGAGTCGAATTTCAAGCGACTCACTTGTGAAAAGGAAAGCTCTGGCTCAACCAATGATCGCGACTACTCTTACATTTTATAAATTATTTTATCTCATATAAAATGCTACGTAACAAAATGAGTATATAAATTGACAATGTCCTCATGGCTTTCATTCTTTACGTCTCCAATTCACCGAGGACTGCAACCTTTATTAAATATTCCCAAGTTTACGTGTACTATGATTTTTGTTTGTGGAGTGTGGGGGCAAGTATGTATGGACAAATGAATAAACTCCATAGTCAATATGTATTAAGGAAACTAACACGAAGTTCAATGGTTTTACTTCATAGTAATCGTGCAAACCAAGACCTACCACATCCACATGTTGCAGAAATGGTCCTCCCCATTTGTGTTTAGTAATCTGTCAAGTATAAAATTAAGTAGAAGTAAACAAGTAAAATTGGATATTATACTTAAGTGGAAATAAAATGCAGGGAATTGATGGGATCAGCCGGAATGTCAAGTTTGCATTGCAAATCCCCGCACACCACGATTGAGAATGATTCAAAATGAGAGTATGAACATTTTATTTGATTGCATAGGGGAAAAGTAAAGAATTAAGTACCAATTTGACTATTTGAGTAAATAATATTTACCCGCGAAAGCACAAAAATGGAAATATTGTTAATTCAAAGTTATTAGTAAGTAACAAATAGGTACTCATGTTTAAAAGATTTCAACAAAAAAAATTAATAACAAGTATAAAACTAAATTTATACTATATAAATGAAGAATTTTTAAAAATTTAATCAACGTATCGATGACTGTCTTGTCTATAACTTTTTTTTTAAAAATCACGTGTCGGCGTATCCGACACGTATCGTGTCGGACACACGTGTTCGTGTCGGTGCATCATAGTGTATCTACCAATATGTACGTGTCTTTCAAAGACAATGATTTTTATTATATAAAGACATAAGTTCAAACATAAATGGACATCTTTATGAGTTAGATACCACACTACTTATTTGGGAGGAGGACTGTAATTTGTTTATAATCAATTCCATTAGTAACAAGAGTATCGTTGCATCTATAAGGTCCTTTTCTGTTAATTAGTACACTATCTGGCATTCCCATATCTTCCTCAAAATTAAGGGTTTTCCTTAAAGCCCAAAATAATTAAAATCTCGTATTCACCAATAAATTTAAATTAACAACTTCTAGACTCAAATATACATAAGATCAACAATGCACAAGCACTAACCGTGTGAATTTGATGTACCAGTCACCAATCACAATTGTGATATCCCCATAAGGCGTGTTAAAAGGAATTGGAATACCTGTTATTAATAATAAACGCGCCAAAATTGCCAGAAGCTCTCTGAAAATTGAATGAACGGAAGTAAAAGAAGCTCCCAATCCTGTCCTTAACCTGAAATTCATAAGTCCAATTCCACTTTGGAGGGATAGGCAATTTGTTCCTAGAACCAAGAACTCCTCCTATGTTGTATACCAGACCTAATTCACTCATCAAATACACAAATCTTTATATTCACTTAAAAGTTACCAACATTAATTTTCAGATCAGTTTCAAAATCTTAGGTACTATTCTCTTTGTGTTTCAATTTTGTGTTTTGAATTCATTTTGTATTTTGTGTTTTGAGTGCCTGTTTTGAAATTTCTGAAAATGTGTTCTTTTTGTCATTCTGAAAAACTATTTCTGAAAACATAAAAATGGAAAACGCGTTTACTTTGAAATTTTGAGAATTTTTTTTAATAATATTTTATTCAAGAAATCTGATTATTCAATAAGTTTTAATAGTTTAATGTTAATATAGTATTAAATAACATATAAATTTTGAAGTTGGTGAATCTTGAAATACTTTTTTTCCAAATATAAAAAACATAACCTAAATTAAATTTGGCAAAATCCTTATTTTTGTCCTTGTACGTAATTTGTGACAATAATTAATTAGCATCAAATCACAATCAAACCTAATCAAGTTGCCAAAAAGGGGAGCACTGATCTCATGTTGGCATGTTAATAAATATTTATCACAATTCTAGCTAAATACAATTTTGATCGTCTAAACACGGTAACTATCATAAGTGATAATAAATAACATTACACATTGATTATAGATAAACTACTACAAGTAAAAAGACAGATCACAAATATTGTCAATATCTAAAAATCAATCAGTTGACTTCGCACAGTCATTTGACCCTTAGCATACAAATCACAGAAGACTCGTATGCAAACAATGAGTAGCCCCTTTGGAACAAAATAAATATGTCATTCCTATTTTCATTGCTGCTAGACAGAACTAAATAATAGCATGCTTAATATGAGAACCAAAGTACAAATGACTTCTAGAGCAAAATTTTCTCTTGGACTTGCATCTTCCTCTAAATTCATATGGACAATAATTGGTAGGACATTTGGTCGACTATGCATTCGAAGCTCGCTTAGGTAATGTATTGGAGAAGGCGCCTTCATTTGGGATAGAAATAGGCATGTTTGCTTGCAGAGGTAAAGGTATGCCATTGCCTTGTTGGCTAGTGCATATTGCAGTTCCATTACCTTACAGGAGGCATCCCGGTTAGAGTCTGATACCAAAAGATTATGTTGACACAGTTGTTGCATTGTTGATAAGACTGCGACATTACTCTCGTCCAACGTGCCGAGAAATGCTGAAACTGGACCAGCACTATTCTTCATGACTTGTGAGTTACCAGCAAATCTCTGAGCTTGCCAATGACAAAGAAGAGGAGGTGGACAACTAGATGTTTAATTAAAGCACAATAGTGAAGAATTGATTGAAAAAGTCAGATGTCTCATTACTAAAGGCCTAAGGCAGATTAGTCAACAGACGTAACTTAGTGTCTTGAGGCTAGATGGATTAGATGATGGTCTTTATCAAGTTCTTGACCCAGGGAGGGGGGGGATTGAAGACAGAATATGCAAAAACAAAGCATCCATAATACATGGACTGCATGGTTTATGGATAATGAAAAGAAGGAAAATATATAGCTATAGCAGTTATTATTCCATGATAAGCATACTTAATAACTTACATTCTTCATTTACTTTTGGAAAAAACATTATCAGACTTCAAAAGAAAAGTATTATTAATACATTAACAACCTTCTCATAAAAACACATTTTCAAGTGCAAGTATTTTAATAATCTTGCACACAATGAAAAGGTAAAAAAAATATGGTAATACATGCTATTTGAGTCTTCTAAATGGAGCGATACATGTAGATCATATGGTAACACTCACATTAACACACACAAAGTAGCCATAATTAAAGATGTTTATGACTTGCATAAACAAGCAATATGTGACCCTCAAGCCCATTACAAAAGCGAAGTGCATTTAAGTATTATAGGGAACCATAGCAAAGTAATCATAAACCACCAGAATAAAAAGAAAAAAAAACATAAGCCAATATAACCAACAAGATAGGCTAGTAAGTAATAACAAAATAAAGATAAAATGAGAGTCATAGTTAACCAACAAAGAATATCTTATAGGTAAAACCCCAATTAACCAAGATAGAAACTAAATGAAAACTCAGACTAAATAACATAATACTGTTACTGAAGAATTTTCAATCTTAACCTTAAGCCTAAGCCCATTTTTCTTCTTCTTAATCACCCCTTTTTCTGCCTCCCGCACACCCACAATCTTAAAGCTTGCATTTTTCCTCTCTTACCCATTGTTTTTACACTCCAAAGCTTGCATTCTTCCTCTCTTACCCATAATTCAAACTTCATACAGAAAAAATACCTTCCAAAACAAAAGTCCCCTTTTAAAATCTCAAAAAAACCCACCTTACAGATTCATGTTTCCAGACAATTTGAAAATAGTGAAGGAGCACAAAATTCGATTTTGATCAAATGGGCGTACAAAATGTCCATTATTGACAACTGTGTAGGTATAAAAATAAAAAAAATATTCGAACTTTTTAATTAGAAATGGCAATAAAGATAATTAATCCGACGAATAGGATGCATATATGGCTATATGTGCGTGTGTGATGAATCAGAGATCGCCGATGGAAATTCTTTAACACCCAACAAATTAAAAAATTAGAGGCTAAACATGATTGAACTCCAAAATATATAGAATTGCAAGCAAAGAAATGGAAAATAAATGGATTGTGGGTACCTGAGATTGCCAATGGAAAACCAGTGGAAGCTTTCGATTGTGGGTTTGGGAGATGGAAATGATAAAGAACACAGTGATACAGGAGATGGGAGAAGGGAGAGAGAGATGGGTTTGTGAATTGTGGGTTTCTGGAAGTTGTTTCCCGTGTTTTGTAAAAATACCATGTTTTGGTTTCAAATTTTCCAAAACGTGGTTTTGGGCGTTTTGTGTTTCCTTTGCAATATTTCTTTCATTTTCAAAATCACGTTTTTGAAAATAGGAAAGAGAACGCATTTTCACTGTTTTGGAAAATCGAAAACAGAAAACGATTCGAAAACGGCAAAAAGAACATGCCCCTAAATTACTTCAAAAGCCCTACCAATGCGTAAGGAGCTCTTCATTTAATTTGTTCATCACATTGACAACAATATAGTTGTTAGTCGTCACATTAATTGTGGGACCGGGAAACTTCCCATTTATAGCAATTATAGAGCAATGCAATTCAAGAATCTTAGCCATTCAAATCTTTAGTAAACATTTCTTAGATCCACAGTTAAATATTCAAACTTTATACAATGTAAGGCAAACCAATTAATCTCAATTAAATTATAACCAGACCCACATGACTAAAAGTCATAAAATCGATAGATTCTATTCAGAAAAGAGTTGAATGGAAAGAAAAATATACCGGATGTGGAATACCAAGAGGAGAGGCGGTAATATAGGAGACCACAAATTCATACCTCTGGTTCCTCAAAAATTTCAGGTCCATCTGTTTAGAATTCTAGACATAAAAATAAGAAAAAAAATTTCACAAGTCCACACATATACAGGAAATCAGTTGAATGAAAACGGACCCCTTCCATGAAGTTGCAATGTTGGCATTTGGGCTTCTTAATGCCATTCTTGTGGCCAAGCAAACGGTTTGAGCAAATTAGATTTTGTAAGTATAAAAAGTAATTCGAAATTCATGTTCAGTAAAATAGTTTACAAGTAAAGACTTTATGGGGTGAGTGGTGGAGCTCATGGAGGAGGAGATAGACGGTTTCGTCCTCTACTTCCGGGAAGCAGCTAACAAATGAAAGTATTCTAGAGAAGGCTTCCACTTTTAACGTTCGAGCAAACGACTAATGAAAAACTTTGATGAAATTAAATAGAAATTGTCGGAGAAAGAAATAGAAAGAGAGAAGAACTAAAAGAAGATTTGCACGGTACGGATGATTGTGTGGGAGAATGGAGTAAAGAGGTACCAGAGATAGTGTGGGAAAATGGAGAATGAGTGAGAGAAGAAAAAAATCCTACAAAATGTAATGACGTGGTGTTTGAAATAAGATAAAATTGGCATGAAATATATGACATCAGCATTAGATCAGAAATGACGCTTTATGAATAGTATTACAACTTTCCTTCCTCTTTTATATATTGTAGTGACATCCGTTCCATAGAGATAAATTTGTTTTCATTTTTCATGTCCCAAAGTGTTTCTTTGTTGAAGTTGTAGTTGATTTCTTATTTTTAAATATGTCCTTATTTAATATATTTTATTATAAACGAATATGAAATATCCCTATTTAAACAATTATTTAATGTATCGGTGTATTAGGAAAAAAAATGTAAATAAAATGTATATTTTTAATTATATTAATTATATATTTTGAATTTGTATAAAAATGAAAGCACATCTATTTTTATGGGAATGAGGAAGTAATATGTTATTAATGTAGTGGGGTGTCAAAGATTGAGTAAATAGACCGTCAAAGAGCCAGGGAAATGAAGACAATAGAATTCAACTACGTTGGGAGGGATTTGAGGTGGGGTGATGACGTTGGCACTGAGTCTCTTTTTCATTTTTCATTTTTTTATTGTTTGTGATTTTTATTTTTTCTTTCTTTATTTCTTTTCTCTTTCTAGCTGTTTTTGGAAAGACATAGGTTGCACAAAAATAATGGTCAAAGAAGTTATTTGAAACCAAATGTTTATCATGTACATATCATGTAATTGCTTGTTAACATTTATATCTAATAGGGACTCACTTGTATTGAAATTGAAAGTCTTGAGACTTAAAGGCTAAAAACATGTTTTTCGGGATCCATACAATATTGATAAGATTTGATGATTGCGACCACAAATTTCCTCTTTTCTTTCTCTTGTAGACATTGAAACGAATTTTTGGAGTTGTTGCTAAACAAAATTTTCCTCTATGTAAAGTAGAGATTACATTCTATAATCAAAAGTACATGCCTTTTGATCCATACATTGTTCAATGCCTTTTTTAATTTCAATTTAGGAAAATTAGAATTGGCTCTCAAACTTTTCACATGGTTTGATTACGGATCTCAACCTTCAAAAAGGAAAATCTGGTCTCCAACTTAATATTATGTTGTTCTTGCTCGAACTCACATGAAAGACGTAGAGCGTGCAATTTTAATGTCCATATTGACAATTCTGAACTAATATTGATCGAATTAAATAGACTAAAATATCAAAATCTCTTTTAAAAGATGACAATTACACCAAATGAAAGATTAGCAGTCCAATGCAAATTTTCCATTTGATTTTGGTGTATTAAAATATACACACGCCCAAAAGGAAAAGAAAAAATAAAAAAAAAGGTAAAATCTTGATATTTACTTTTGGTTAGGATGCACAAACATGTTAAACAAATATTTATGGGATATCATATCTGAGTTGTGTTACGCCTCGTCGTAGAGGGCCAGAGGCTCCAGTCAAAGCACCGTGTTGTAGTCCACGTGGATAGAAAAGTCAACAAAGATCCAATTTGTCAAATGCAAAGAAATCAAACAAATACTGAAATTCATAAGCCGATGCATTGCCTAAATGGCCAAAGGTGTAAGCCGAAGCGCTACATTAAGAATCAAAGAAGAAGCCGAAACTCTTCACACGGAAGGCTACGGATGCGAGGCTCCCACCGACCGAAGCCCTCAGTTCATCCGAAATCCATGAAGCTGATTCTGTCTTGTGAGAATTGTAGGCAATCTTTAGAAATGATTGATATAACGTTTGTAATAAAGGATGTCAGGTGTACAAGCCTAATATATAGGGCGACAACCCACTGTCAATGGATTTAATGTATGATCGACTTAATGACGTGAAGTTTCAGTAAAGGAGATGATACCACGTGATTTTGATCTAACGATCATCACGTCGATCGAAACTCTATAAATAGTGGTCTTGGTAAAGTGTAAAGGGCTTTTTGGGATGATCTTTTGAATATGCATTCTAATATGCAAGAAGACACTCAAGAAAAATATTCCCAAGAAATCATTTTATTTGTTCTATATTTATTAGTTTGATCCTAAATTATTTACATATTGTGGGTGATTATTTGTTAGTGCAACTATTCTAATCACTAACGTCGGTGCCCAAATATTTTTGTCTCGCGTCGTAAAACATCTCTTACGTTCATTTGCTCTCCATCTCTCACTGATTATCTTGTCAAAACACGTAAGAATTTACTTGATTTAGCGTGAGTGGACTCGACATCTGTTGTCCACTTGGCGTTGCATTTTTCGGGGTCAACAAGTTGTGTGATAATTGGTTCTTT